CGCATGAATGGCTCGGAACTTCTCAAAATTCTCGGATCCGGTTCGACTCGCTTCGTTCACCCTCGAAATAAACATGAAAATATACCAAAAGCACGAGAAAGTACGCCAAAATATAAAATGAAACGAAAAACATAAAATCACACAAAATGCGACAAAATTGACCGGACGACACTAAAACGAACCTAAAACCGACTTAATAACACAAATAAAAATATAAAAATAAGCACAAAAACATAACAAACACACATTATCACTTATTTTCGCCTTTTTGTCGCATAGTTCACTTCATAAGATTTTCACACTTCAACAGTTATTTTCACCTCGTATGGTTTAACGCATACATATTTCACACTTTATCAATTATGTCCTTATGTTTGTCGCATATTTATTTCAAACTTTATCAAATATCTTCGCGTTTCTATCTCATAGTTTATTCCATAGTTTATTTTGCACTTTATCAATTATCTTTGTCTTGTTGTCGCATAAACTTTTTTCGCACTTTATCAATTTTTTCGCCTATCTATCGCATAAATGTTTCACACTTTTCTAATTATTTTCTTCTTTCTTTCGCATAGTTCATCGCATAATTTATTTCACACTTTACCATTTATTTTACTTGTCTGTCGTATATTTTATCGCACTTCATTAATTATTTTTGTCTGTCTGTTGCATAACTTATCCCATTTAGTGAGGTGAAAAAGTTAAGTTATTAATTGACGGTGTGAAAAACTTAATCCGTCTTTAGAACATGGTGGAAATAACTATTTCCTCTAATATGTTTATACATGGTGTATAACCTCTTAAATGGAGTAAGATGGTAAAAAGAACTTATTATACACAAATTTTGTAGTTAGACAGACTAACAATTAGACGAGTTGACCGATGACATATCCTTACATTTGAAACCATTTCATTTTTTTTTTATTTTTTTTTTCCAAAAGTTGAGAGGTTCTTGGTAAATTGGTCTCCCTTTCCCTATATATGAACTCAGAAAGTTTTTAACATGAAGCCGAACTGAACATGCGTTTAACTAGGACGAGTTGGCAAACAAATCTCCACATTTAAAAAAGTAGCTACTTTTTAACAAGGACAACTCAGAGAGAGCCTATCTTGGTAATCATACTTTGTAGTTTTCTTACTACAAACTATACAGTATACATTGCTGTTTTTTAAAGAGGTTCCTTTTGACACATCATCTTTTAACTATATTATTGAACCTCTTGGGTTGGAGAGCGGTCGACATAACCTGGAGCCGTTTTGTGATCTCAGTAAAAGAAGGCCTTGCTGCTGGGTCATGTGACCAGCATTCCTCCATCAACTTTCTCCACTCATGATCACAACGCTCGGGGATCACAGGCCTCAGCGTGTTATTTACAATTCCACCTTCATTTGTAAGATAACCAAAATGCAGTCTTAACTTCATAATCCAATACCATATCGAGAGAGTACAAAAATGACGTGAAAAACATGTGTCAGTTCGTTCAGAAAATCAACAAACCATGTTTATCTCAAATACACGTGGTGCTAGTGTGATCGAGTCGGACTAAAAACAACAAACGTATCATGTACATCTCCTCAGGGATGGCCACATGAATATATGCACAAGTACTACATATTGGATTTTTTAACATCATCTTCAAAAGCGTACCTATGATGGCACCGCAATGCATATCAATGTATGGCTCTTCTCCAGTCAAAATCTCCCACATGGCAATACCAAAAGAGAAAACATCTACCTGCAGAGATATTTTATCGTATATTGCACATTGTTTGCAAATGATGCCCCATCATCTCAAGTTTTTATCATAAGAGTTGATTGTATACAGACAATGAAGGATTTAAAGAGGTCTAACTTTCTCAGAGACGCGACTACTGTTTCCATTTAAAAGCTCCGGAGCCATCCAAGGAAGTGTTCCTCGAACGCCACCTGACACGAGAGTGTTCTGTTTGATTCTTGATAGTCCAAAATCAGTGACCTGAGATATATAACAGCATCCATTCAATCTTTTGTATCTTTCAAACTCCCATGAGTTCGTGGATTTTATAATCATTCCTGATTTTCCGACTATATGCATACGGAGATTCATTTTCGAAAAATTCCCAGAGAGAGAGAGAGAGAGAGAGAGTCAGCAGAAATCCATATAGCGAAGCAAATCCTTATGTAAAGAAAAAATCTTTTGCAAGAAATCACCTTGCACACAGGCCGCTGAGAATCGCCCAAGTTAACTAGCAAATTGTCACATTTTAAATCAAAATGGACAATATTTTTCAAATGCAAGTACTCCATGCCAAAAGATGCATCTAGTGCGATTATAACCTTTCTACGCCGATCTAGTGCTCTGCGATGGAATTTGAATAAGTCAAAGGCTTTCGAGGATCATTTTCTGAACACAGTAAATGATAGGAAATAAAAGGAGAAAAAATCATTCACCTATCCTTCCTCGTGAGAACATGTCTCAATGACCCATTAGACATATACTCAGACACGGTGGCCAGTGTACCGCCAGGCCCATCAGGAACCACGCCGTAAAATGCTACTATATTAGGATGGTGAAGCCTGGAAAGAATCTTAGCCTCCCTCCAAAAATCTTTGGTCTGTGGGAAATTAGAACTATATTATATGTACGTGAATGATCATTGACTCGATGTAGAATGTTCTGAGGCAAAGAAATGTAATAGCAATTTTTTTTTTGTCCATCATACATGTGATGAAAAAACAAAATATGTAAAATGGATATCAAAACTTTCAACTTTTCATCTCACATGTGAAATTTTTATCAAAAAGTACATTATTCACTCAACTCATCGTTTCTCGACTCATTTTTATCAGTATAATTTGTAAAATAAAACGAAAGCATATCAAATCACATTATTTTGATTTCACTAGGGACAGACCAGTCTTTCTTGTTCGGAAGATCCTCCGGCAAAACAACTCTTTTTTATTCTCTTGATAGCAACATCTGTACCCCTCCACTTTCCATGATATACTGTCCCGAAGGTACCAGATCCTAGCTCTTGTAATTCTTCAACATCAGCATATTTAATGATCTGTACAGGTATGAGTATATGGTTGGACTTGCGTCGATCGAGTTTCATAACAAGAAAAACAAGTATTTAGTCTAGCATTGAAAAAAGCATATTTAACAACACATGAAGCCATAAAATCTTTTAATAGTGTTGTTTAATAAAATAAACATATAACTATGTACATACGTATGTAAATACTTTAGTCTACACTGAAATCCAGACATAAAAATCTCTTTTGAAAGGAAAATACCACAAACAATACGGTTCCATTTACATTAATTCGGTTATGGAGGCTAAGCAAACATTTAGGAGAAACTAGAGAACTTTCATATCATAACATTCGTATCATGAAGTAATTTAGTCCACATGGAAATAAAGCGACAAATGTAATGAAGATTTTGCCCATTTGAGAAATGGAAAATGAAAATATATTTAAGGTAAACCTGCAAACCATATATGCTGGCTTCCATTTCGATAATTGCAGCATCACTTATGGGTTCATCCTTGTCGTCAATGCCAGCTCCATCGTCCTACATCACAGGCACACACAAATCAATGTCCTGTTAAATTAGTTCTTCATATTGAAAATTAGGAGTATTAAGGATGTGTCATACATCATCTTCCGATGCATAGTTAGATTCTTCACTGTGTTCATCTACAAAAGGCTTTTCTGGTTCAGAAATTTCTTGAACATTATCTGATGACTTAGAACTGACAGTAGTAGCACTCCTAATCGTCATTTCCTCACGAGAATTCCTGTCAGGTTTCTCTTTCGTTATACTTTCAACAGATACTTCGCCTAAAGCATCATTTACGGTTGTTTCTGGCAAAACAAGAGGACCCCTAGTGTATAAACCCAAACCAGATTCATTTTCAGGTAATTGAACCAAATCTATGAAGTTTGATTGGTCGTTATGTTCTTTCCTCACAACATCAGGTTCAAGCACGTGACATCCAAAAAAGCTTGTATTGCCATCGATAGCATTATGACCATCTTGGTTCGGCTCACTATCAGCTCTCTGGCTCCTAATGAGAAAGTTGGGTTTGTTTGAGCTTATTTGGTAATTTTCGGATAGCTCTTTCCAGACGTCTGATGGATTTTCTACAGAACTACACAATGAAGATGAAGAAGAACGCTTGGCCCCAATCAGCTGCGGCTCTGATTTTGGAACATCAACTGACAATATCGAATTCGGTTGACATATTATTTGAGGTAAATTCGCCTTTTTCTCCAAAAAATCAGAATTTGAGGCATGGTTGTTGGCAACAGCACTGAGTTTCACATCCTGATCAAAATAAATTTCATTATTCTCCATCCAATTTGTCGAACCTTTACCACATTCAGTGATATCCTTGTTAAGATTTGAAGATTCCTGAAAGGTGTGATCCTTATTCCCCAATGTGAGATATCTCTCGTATGCCGTGCGTTGGTTAACTACTCCTTGAGATGAACTGGATGCATCAATGAATGGCGAATTTCCAACAGCAAAGGGCTGATAACTCATTTCCATCCCATGTTCCAAAGTGAATCTCCTCTCGTCATTAGACGGCAGTGCTAATTCCGAGGCATCGATTACTGTACATTTAGCATGAAAATCAGAGACAGGAGAAAAACAAAACATATCTGCAGGAGGAACTAACTTCTCGGGATTTAGAAAACCTCTACTTTCATCTGTATAACCATTTATACCATACACCAAAGAAGACAGAAATTCACTACTTGCAACATGAAATTGAGACCCCGCAACAGACGGTGAGTGCGATTGTGCAACATGGCTGCTGACCGGGCCTGCACCTTCCACCAAAGGTGCAGTATCCACGCAGGCGGGGTTATCATAAACTGAGGTGTCCACAACATACGGGCAATTAATTTGATACCCATAAGGACACGCAACATTGTCATATGTCCTCACGTACGAAGTCTTTGGATCTTTAAACTGAGAGGGAGATGATGGAGGGGAGGAGCCTGGGCCCACAAGCATCAGCTTGAGATTTTCCAAGTGACGAAATGCATTGGCGGGATCTTTTTGCTGCACGGTTGGGCTCTCTTCCGGGTTATTATTCATCCACTGGCTCTCGAGACTCTCCCTGCTCAAGCTCCTTTGCGGGCTCATGCCATTAACCGCAACTACATACTGATAATCGGAATCACTTTTCTGTCTGCCCCTCGTTTCAGGACCCGGGCCCTCGAGTTCACCGCAAGAAACGAGAAAAATCCTGAGCCTCTGTGATTTTCTTTCCAGATCGTGATACTCCTCGATCATGTGGTGAAGGTCCTCGTCTGAGGAGACAGATATGAGGGCATCCAAGTCCTCCCCCGGGAGCTGGTACTTGATCATGTGGGGATAACTGCACACTGCACTTGTCTTTTTTACAAGCTCATTGTAAGTTAGGTCCTTTCTGATGGATATGATCCGTGTGTCCCCACCAACGTATCTCAACTTTGCGTCATTGGGTCTCGGTAGAATTCTTCCCCCGAAGCTGCAGAGGAATTTGATTTTCCCAGACAAAGTACGGTCCAAATTTCCCGATGCTTTGGCGTTTGGGGAATAATCTGATGAACAAACGGAAATAGCGGACCTTGGGCTGCTTTTATCAAAGTCAGCTGACAATTTCTTTTGATACGTACTCGACCTGTCCATATAACCTTTGTCTGCATCAAATGCATATGCTTTACCAGGAGAAAAATCTAAGTGGTGATGATTTTGGATTGCATTACAGCTCGGTTTAATTGTGGGAACCTGACTGGCGTCGTTCGTGAAAGGTGTTCTTCGAGATACACGATCCCTAAGAAACTCGGGAGAAAATTCTTCACCGGTTTGGACAGAGATGTTGCGCATGTTCTTACTGTATTCATAGTCCAGATCGCTCGGCATCATAGTGGACAAGTTGGCATCACTTTGTCTGCCCGAGCCACAAGAGAGATCGTTTTCCATGTCCACAATTAAGAACAAGTCCCACTGGACATGAGTATTTTTACCGGTCTTTATTAATCTCCATACAAATCAAGCCCCCATTATTCAAGAACTCCTTAGACATTCAAAATCACCATTATGCATAGTGGAGCAGAAACAACAACTCCTTACTTAGCTATGGTTCGATTTCTTTCGGGGATTCCCTTTCGAGAAGTATTAACTACCGTTCCCACTAAACATACTTTTGGAAGCCTTAATTCACGTCCACCACCAAAAACCTACAACTTAAGCATGCCCACATCAATTATTCGTCACTACAAAAAGGCAAGTGCCTCTAAAGCTCCATTCTCGGGTGGAATTGGCTTTCGACATACACCGAGCAATGAAGACTACCTCCACAGAAAACGAAAAAACAATGTAAGGTAACAATGAACAATCTAATCAAAACAACCACCATTTAGCAAACAAAACGAACATGACAATGATCCACCCATCCATCCATCAACAATTCCTAAATCCCTTTAAGGCCCAGAGAAAAAAAAACAACAAAATTGCCGAAAACCCAAACTACGAACCGAAATTGAATTAAAAATTACCTGCCCACGAACAGAAAATCATGGTATTTTTCCTCTGCAGTGCGTGTGTGGTTGCAGAAGGAAAAGAAGAGAAAGTTTGTGAAGAATTGGGTTTTGTATGTGAGGCATAGGTTGATGGTGGGGGTGGGCGTGGCGTTGCGTGGGTTGCGGAATGTTTCAAGGGGACGGATACAGAGAAAACCAAACATCTCTGCTTCAATATCTAAACAATAAAAATGATTTTTGTATATGTAGTATCATTCGCGCCATTATCGCGGCATTTTTTTTCAAATATATAGAGAATTTATTCTATTAATATATAATAAAGATTAACATAATTCAATTTTATAAATATTTTCCCGCCTAAACATAGTAAATTAACAAAATCAATGTTTATTAGTATATTTGTTTTTTCCTTTTTTTTAGGAATACAAAAAAAAATATGGAATCAAATCCAAATAAATCTCTTCTTTTTGTGGCTGGATATAAATCTCTTCTTTTGAAGGCCGCACATCTTGCGTTTATTAAGGAGTCTGCCAAAAAAAAAAGATTAAGCTAAATTAGTTACAATTTGTTGATTACATTTCAAAATGAGATTAACCTTTTATTTTTGGTTAAATTGTTTAAATGATTTTCGAGAAATAGATTGAATTTTTAATTAATTGCTTTTGGAAAAAATCTGATACCTGATCCTTTTTTTATGTCATAGCGATTTTTGTTGACAAAATTTGATTTACATGGTGTGTTATTCATATTTATCACTTGGCAAACTTCTTGTTATTCATATTATGATTTGAAAAACTAAATCTATTGTATAATGAAACAAAATAATTTAAAAAATCACATTTCCGATCGATGTTAAAAATGAAACTGTTAAAATAAAATAGATAATCACAAATCCATATTATCACAAGTCAATACATAATTAAATATAATTTTATATTCATAAATTATGATTAATATATATTTTACGGGTAGAAAATTACATGTATAAATGGTGCTAAGATAAAATATTCATATTTATTTACACATAAAATAATCTTTATATTTTTAAGAAACGTTTAAGAAAAACATATTTCACACGTATATATTTGTAATCTTTACAAATATAATCTTTACTTCACGGGTACGTGAAATATTTATATTTATAAATATTTACGTGTAATATTTACAGATATTACACAATAATTTACAAAATTATAAATTTTACATGGTAGATATAAATATTGTTAGCACAAATAATTAATCCTGAAAGCCCTACTCTCATTAAATCGCCAGAGTTATATAACAATATTATATTATAATTTTATTTCGTGGTGTTAACAATCCAAAAATCAACAAATAATTAGATAAATGAGGTGTCTATGCAATTAGCAATAATATAAATATTGATCTACAATTGTCAAGTGGAAAATAATTTGCATAGAAAAACATGAAGGATTTTAACAATGTATGACTTTTTCATATGAACATTTTATGATTACCTGACAAATGTCCTACAATATTATAACTTATTGATTAATATTAGTCTTTAATTATAAATTTTATCAAAACAAATACAGCTCGTACATCGCACGGGGTTACGTACTAGTTTTGATAAAATGAGAAAGAAAGAATGATAATGAAATAAATGAGAATATATCATTGGTCATTATTAACTCAAACTTCGGTCAATCATTAATGACAATATGATAAATTAACATACTGTTTGTCCCATTTTTGTTGCTATTTTTGTCGGTATTTGGTGTGTCGTTTCCCCGATTTAGGTCATTTCTTAGGATTTTTCGATCATTTTAGTTGTTTCTTGTGTTTTAGTATTATTTATGTTTGTTTAGTATTTTTGTTGTTTTTCCTGCTATTTTCTCTTGCTTTTGTGTTTGTTTGGTGGTAATGATTTCAGGTTGGAGATAGAAAAGTATTATGTTTCGGTTCCTAGGGGATCCAGGCTGGTCCGTACGACTCAAACACGTGGGAATTGAGTTTTCCAGCTCGGGCAGAACCCGAGTGATGCTGGCCGAGATTACCTGAGCCCGAATTATCAAGTTTTAGAAGCAGCCCAGACTTTAGCGCCGCTAAGGGGAAAGCGGCGCTAAGGAAGAATGGAAAAGCGGCGCGTTAAGGTTCGAATTTTCTTCGGTTTTTTGTTCACCAAAAACACATGTTTCACTCTTTGATTTGGTTTTGGGTTTGAATTTTGGAGATTAAGAACTCATTTTCTAGCTTTTGGATTCGGTTGCTCGTTGTTCTTTCGACATTGGGTTCACTTTTAATCGTAAGCACTCCTTTTCATTTTGTGTATGAATATGATGGCTTGGGTTATTGATCATTTTGATGTTGAATCGATCATGAGTAGCTAAATTCATATGCTAGGGAATAGGAGATTGATGTTTTGAATTCGTTTGCGATTATCATGTTCGTGATTGTTCAATTTGTACAAGTTAAGCTTTTTTCTAGGGTTTTCAATCTTTGTTCATGGGTTTCGAGAATTGTTGAAGGGTGACACTTCAACATCCAATTATTTTAATTGAATTCGCTTAATTCGTGCATTACGTTGAAAATTCTAAACGGACTAGTTGATTAACCACCTTCTAGTCTTCTTTAATCGACTCTTAGAACCGGAAGGGGAGGAGTCAGTCGAAATAGGCTCGTATAAACTAGGCTTGTTCGTTATTGTATTGCTTAGGTGTTAAATGACTTGTTAACTTGTCGTTTAAGTTTATTCTCTTGTTACGAAAAGTTATTGAGAATGAGTGCCTGAACGTGCCGGTTATTCAAATTACTTAACCGAACAATCTCTTGCTTGGTAATCGCATTTTCGAACCAAAACGGATATCCCCGACTCCCTAGCTTCTTAATCTTACTTGTTCTACGTGATCGCTTGCTATTTAATTTGCTTATTTGAATTTTTGCAGTAGTTGATAATTAAATCAAAACCATCTCTGAATTAGCATGTTTAGGAGTTTTATTTTTTTTATTTGTGTTTGAATAAACGTACAGAGTGTTCAGGCTAACCTTCCTCATGAGACACATCCCGGTGTTCGAATTATTTGATTCTACTCCAAAAAATATTTACAACACATACACATTAAGGTCAAAATGGTATATATTTTACCAATTATTAAGGGTATTTTGTCATTATAAATAAATCCAACTCATAATGTGGGACCCACCTCAAACCATCAACCCTAATTTATCTCTCTCTCTCTCTCTCTCTCTCTCACACACACACACACACATGCACATTCACACCAAAAACACATAGTAGATATATATCCCTCTCCTTCCACCTACACGTATTGAGCAGACACACACACAAACATACACTGGGTGCTGGTCAATTCCAACACCTCACAACTTCCTGTCGCTGACGCCATATACTGTCGCCGCCATAATCTCTGGTAGTCCAGTTGCTGCATCCACATCCCGCAACCCCCATCACCTATGGCGGTCGAGATAGCTCGTCACCGGCGAAGCAACCGCGAGTAGATCCACCGGCAGGAGCAAGCACGTGGGGTCAGACGATAGGTCATGGCGACGACTGCACGGACACGGGCGGCTTCGGGTGGCTAATGGCGGGACGTGGGCGGCGGCGGGTGGCTGACGATGGGGCGCTAGCGGCGGGTGGCTGAAAAGTGTTTGTGTGTGTGTGTGATGGTTGAAGATTTATTGACTCTTGTTTTTGTTTTTGTTTTTATTTTTATTTTTTCTGTAAAGGGGCTTATTTTTGGAATTTAAACAATTACTAAGGACTTTGTTGCAATTTACTTGATATAATCAAATTTTTATACTATAGTATGCTAATGTACTATAGTATGCTAATGTGCATTAGTGTAATCACTAATATGCAATATAATAGTTATTTCGTCAGTTAAATTATTTAACCAAAATAAACAAATTAATCATTATTATATTTATATTGTAGTTAGTATTTTGAAATTGAAATAAAAATAATAATCGACAAGAATATAAAATTTCAAATCGTAGATTTTAGTCTGGACAATTTCGATTGCTAATATACAATATAATAGTCATTTATGTGCAAACTGCCTAACAATATTGTGCACTTGCAACAATTAATAATAATAATAATAACAATTAATAATAATAATAATAATAATAATAATAATAATAATAATAATAATAATAATAATAATAACAACAATAAGAATAGTTCACTTTGAAACTTTATATTTCGGTTAGGTAATGCAATCTGGCGATCACAAATGTGCAATCCGTCTAACACTGGTGTGCATCCATTCTAGCATTATTGTGCATTTTATTGAGCGATTATTTTATGTGCATTCTCAATTTTAGAAAGGATTAATAATGTGTATTTCAATCAACATTATTTCGAATTTATTCTATTATTTATATAATAAAAAAATATATTTATTATTATAATTTTTATTTATTATTTAATATTATTATTTGTTGAAAATAAATAGT